AATACTTCATACAGTTTGACCTAATCTCCTACCCTAAGGAAATAATTCAAAAGAAGAATAAACCATTTACAAATATGTTTAATAGCAGCATTTCTCTTAAGAAATTACTAACAAGGCCAGGCGCGGTGGCTCATGCCTGTAATCCCAACATTTTGGGAGGCTGAGGCGGGTGGATTGCCTGAGGTCAGGAGTTCAAGACCATCCTGGCCAACATGGTGAAACACCATCTCTGTTAAAAATACAAAAATTAGCCAGGTGTGGTGGCGGGTGCCTGTAATTCCAGTTACTTGAGAGGCTGAGGCAGGTGAATCGCTTGAACCTCAGGAGGTGGAGGTTGCAGAGAGCTGAGATCATCCACTGCACTCCAGCTCTGAGCAACAGAGCAAGACTCTGTCTCAAAAAAAAAAAAAAAAAAAGTAGTAAGAAGAAAAAAGGGTCAGCTCTGCAAAGATCCGGAGGCAGGGAGAAAATTCCAAGCAGAGGGCTGGCAGATGCAAGGCCCATAAGATGAAACAAGCTTGCATGATACGTGACAGCCGGATAGAAAGGCCAGATGGGGAGTAATAGGTGGGTAAAGAGCAGGAATGGGGTAGGCAGGGCCAGATCAAGTAGGTGGGAATAATGAATGGATTTTACGGAGGCAGGATGGAAGCCTGGAGGCCAGTTGTTGCAATCCAGATGAAAGATGGTAGTGGCTTCGCTAAGGGTAGGGAAGTGAGGCTTAGGAATGACAACTGGGGAGAGGAAGGAGGGGAACGAGGTTCTTGCTTAGAGGCATGATGAGTCCAACTGTGGAGACTGACTGGCTCCAAAACTGGGCTGTGTGGCATCCAGATCTCATCCACGGCAGGTCCTACAGTTGTGCTGGTCTCTCCCATCCAGCTGAGGCTCTTCTTTCTCTTTCTCAGGTATGGCTCCCATGGTGCATTTTACCACTATAAGAACAGCATGGGGAAGAGCCTCCCACTCTTTTATATCTACGACTCATACCTGACGTCCCCTGAGGCCTGGGCCCACCTCCTGACACCAAACGGGCCCCACTCGATCCGCAACACGCCCTATGATGGGGTCTTCATAGCGCTGCTGGTGGAGGAGGGTCACACCCACGACATCCTGGCCGCCGGATTTGACGGCATGTACACCTACTTTGCCTCCAATGGTTTCTCCTTTGGTTCTTCCCATCAGAACTGGAAAGCTGTGAAGAACTTTTGTGATGCCAACAACCTCATGTTCATCCCCAGTGTGGGGCCTGGCTACATAGACACCAGCATTCGGCCCTGGAACAACCACAATACGCGCAACAGGGTCAATGGCAAGTACTATGAGACGGCCCTGCAGGCGGCCCTGACGGTGAGGCCCGAGATCGTCTCCATCACCTCCTTCAATGAGTGGCACGAGGGCACCCAGATTGAGAAGGCCATTCCCAAGAAGACACCCACCCGCCTGTATCTGGACTACCTGCCTCACCAGCCCAGCCTGTACCTGGAGCTGACCCGCCGCTGGGCAGAGCACTTCATCAAAGAGAAGGAGCAGTGGCTCATGTGAGGGGCCTGTAAACAGGGACGTGAGGAGCTGATGTCCTTGCCTTGCTGGAAGATGTCACCACGTGGGGTTCAGCTGAGGTTGTAGGCACTCACTCATTCCCAGGTCAGAGGTCAGCAGCTAGGTGCTTCTGGGTGGGCTGTCAGGCCTGGGCCTGTGCAGCACAGAGACCATTCCTCAGGCGAGTGGTGCTGGGGTGCTCTGCGGTGATGGGAATGGCAGAGGCTGGCAGGTGACTGAACTTAGCCCAGGGCAGCTCCACGTTCTGGGAACACTTTCATGTAACCCCTTCTAATTTTGAACTCTGCAGCAGGCCGGTGCTGTGTAGTGGCCACCCACTCACCACCCTTGGAAGGGTGTCAGGCTCTGGGCTCGCATGTGCCCTGCTCCCTTCTGCCAGTCTGCGTCCTCTCCTCAGGCCTCCTTCTCACATCATCTGTCTTCTCCAAGTTAGGGAACCATATTTGAGACTTTCAAAAAGGGAACTTCTAGGTTGAAGCTCCTCCCAGTAGATTCCTGAACCCAATTATCAGGAAATCATCCTGAGCACTCACAGGTTCATGTAACACTCACTCATCAAGCACCTTCCTATGTGCTAGGTGCTGGGGAAAACTTGACCAAGGAAGAGTTCCTGTCCTGAAGCTTCCAGGACCCAGCTTTCCTTATCTGGTGTGGCCTTGTAGCTAGTGCCTGGGCACAGTTGTTTTTCTTTTTGCAGTTTTACCTAGTGCTGGGCATTCAGTTCTTTCTCCTCTAAAAAAATACCTCTGTGCTCCAGAGCCTCATTTTTCCCAGATGCATATTTAGCTCCAGGGAGAGGACTAGGAGGAAACCCCCTCCCTTTAGCTGCCTGAACTGACTGAGGCCCACTCACTAGAGCCATGTTCAGTGCTACTGTGATTTGTAGTAATTAAATATGAACTGGTATTCTCAAGTAAGCATTCCTTTTGCTCTCTTTAAGACCTCACAAATTCTGACCTTAGATTCTGTGACAAACTGACATATGAGTTGGGCTGGCTATGGCTTTACCACAAGTCGGTTTGCTTAAGAAATTACTAACAAGGCTGGGCACGGTGGCTCATGCCTGTAATCCCAGCACTTTGGGAGGCTGAGGCGGGTGGATCACCTGAGGTCAGGAGTTCCAGACCAGCCTGGCCAACATGGTGAAACCCCGGCCCTACTAAAAACACCAAAATTAGCTGGGTGTGGTGCTGGGTGCCTGTAATCCCAGCTACTTGGGAGACTGAGGCAGAATTGCTTGAACCTGGGAGGCCGAGGGTGCAGTGAGCCAATGTGGCACCACTGGACTCCAGCCTGGGCAAGAGCAAGACTGTCTCAAAAAAAACAAAAAACAAAAAAAGGAAAACAAATTACTAAACAAGATTTCTAGAGGGAATTAACAAACCAGTGCTTATTTACAAATAAACGAATATGCTAATTGCAGGCACCCTGATTGAAGTGGGCCCCTCCCTGTTAACACCTGACAAGATTCTTAGGATATACTTGAAAACAGGTGCATTGGAAACCACTGTACTGAGAAGTTTATGGGCTCAAGACTGAATTGGGCGTGGTCGCTCAGGCCTGTAATCCCAGGACTCTGGGAGGCTGAGGTGGAAGGATCAGTTGAGTCCAGGAGTTCGAGACCAGCCTGGGCAACCCAGTGAGACGTGTCTTTAAAAAAATTAAAAATAGGCCGAGTGCCTTGGCTCACACCTGTAATCCCAGAACTTTGGGAGGCCAAGGCGGCTGGATCACTTGAGGCCAAGAGTTCAAGAACAGCCTGACCAACATGGCAAAACTCCATCTCTACTAAAAATACCAAAAAAATTAGTAGGGTATGGTGGTGCACACCTGTAGTCCCAGCTACTCAGGAGGCTGAGGTGTGAGAATCACTTGAAAGTGGGAGGCAGAGGTTGCAGCGAGCCAAGATTGTGCCACTGCACTCCAGCCTGGGCAACAGGGATTCTGTCTCCAGAAAAAAAAAAAAAAAGATTGAATTGGAATTTTGGGAACTAGGGTGCAAGAGGGAAGCGGAGGAAGGAGGAAACAGACCCCAGTGGTCACCTCAAGGACACCCAGCCCCAGTTAGGTAACTGGTATTAAACTCCACGGTAGAGATGAGCAGGCCTGGCCACCTGGTTTGGGGCTTAGCTGGGGAAACCAAGGCAGGCAGGGACAGTTGAAAGGGTTGGATGTTGACATATGGTAATTTACAGAGGGTAGCAACACAGGCTTCATTTCACACACGCACAATTTGAAAAATACTAAACATGGCAAGGCCAGGGGGCAGGGGCAGCCATTCTCACACACTGCTAATGGCAGTGTAACTTGACTCAGTTCTTCTGAAGGCTAATCCATATTGAGAGCCATAAATACTTCATACAGTTTGACCTAATCTCCTACCCTAAGGAAATAATTCAAAAGAAGAATAAACCATTTACAAATATGTTTAATAGCAGCATTTCTTCAAAGAAAAACAAAGTTCAAATGCCCAACAGTAATTATGTTTAACACTTGGTACACATATAGACAAAAGGCTGCAGAGAACAATGGATTTAAACAAGGCTATTACGGGTATAATTAACTATAATTTACGAATAAATAAGGAAAAAGTCCCTGGCTGAAAAGGATAGTGGAGGTTTATTTCCCAGTATTCTTCAGTTTGGACTGAACCCTTGCCAACTGAGCAGACATCCCACTATTACACCAAAAAGACTGCTCTCCCTGCCAGCAATTACAATACATGACACCACTAGGCCGAGTGGCTCAGAGGGAAGAGTGGTCTGCGGCTCTTCAATCTTTATCCAAACCTGGTTCTAGCTTCAGGAGCCCAACCCATGCCTTTGGTCACCTGAGACTTTTTATTAATTTTTATGAGATGGAGTATTGCTATGTTGCCCAGGCTGATTCTGAACTCCTGGGCTCAAGCAGTTCTCCCGCCTGGGCCTCCCAGAATGTTGGGATTACAGGCATGAGCCACCACACGCAGCACCTGAGACTTCTTAAACAGCACCAGCACTTCTAGCTGGTTTGAACCTTAAATGCCACCACCCACCAGAGAGAAGGCTCTCACTAAATTCTAAATCTGTCATTTAAATTACTTTTCAACTGAAAAACAAAACAGAAGAAACTTATTAGAATAAGGCCATCTAGGCCGGGCGCGGGGGCTCAAGCCTATAATCCCAGCACTTTGGGAGGCCAAGATGGGCGGATCACGAGGTCAGGAGATCGAGACCATCCTGGCTAACACGGTGAAACCCCGTCTCTACTAAAAAATACAAAAAAAAAAACTAGCCAGGCGAGGTGGCAGGAACCTGTAGTCCCAGCTACTCAGGAGGCTGAGGCAGGAGAATGGCGTAAAACTAGGAGGCGGAGCTTGCAGTGAGCTGAGATCCAGCCACTGCACTCCAGCTTGGGTGACGGAGCAAGACTCCTTCTCAAAAAAAAAAAAAAAAAAAAAAGAATAAGACCACCTAGGAATGTTCTTAACTTTTCCATTCAGCTTTTGGCTGATATATGAAACTACAAATCAATACATCCTGTCCCGAGCTGTAAACCAGCAGCTCCCAGGGCTTGGTCTACAGTGCTCAGAAAGACACATTGCCTTAACAGTCAGGCTAGTGCCCTAGCTCCAGTGGCCTCTGCAAATGAGGCCTTGCCAGTCATCAGTGGACAGACACATAGTATCCAGCACCAGGCCTTGGGCCTTCCTGCTTCCCAGAGTTTCACAGGTAGGATGCATGTGAGGGAAGTAGGCCATACTTCTGTTGGAGGATGGCTGTAGTACTTTCCAGGGCACTGAGGAGGAAACAGGACAGTTAATAGTCTGACTTCTCAAAGTCCCAAGCCCACCAGAAGCTGGTGAGCAGGGACATCGAAACTGGCTAGCCTTGTTATGCCCTGTTCATCAATCCATGATGAAACCTTCTGAATCCTAAGAAAGCCAGCAAACTTAATCCCACTCCAACTACCACTTCTCCAAACCTGGCCCACACTCCCTCAGGGCAAGATAGGAGGCACCATCTTTATCTTGTCAAAGCTTTTTTGCATCTCTCCAACCTCCCTCAAATTATTTCCCCACGCCACAGGAATGAGACTTACCAGCCTGGACGAATGATGCCAAACTTTCCGGGCACAGACAAATCAACCACAGTTGAGCCGAGGCGACACTCGGGGCTCTGGCCACCCCCAATTTGTCCCCCATCAATGACCAAGGACAACTGAGGCCAGAGATCCCGGAACTCCTGAGAAGAGGGAGAAGGAAGAGCATGGATACTATCCCTGGTGTATGCAATAATGTTAAACTGCACGCAGTCATCAAAGGCCATATAGTCTCAAAACAGAAGTCACCTTCCTCCAAGCAGAGAAAGGAGCTTCATTTAGTTAAGGTCAGCTGTGCCAAGGACACTGCATTCTATGAGGTTTGGAGCCCTCCTGGGTTAGCACCCCAAGTAACACCTATCTAGGGCTTAAAGAAATCTTGCTATGGCCAAAGGAAATGTCATACATTGCTTCAGTTAGGAAATGTAAGTACAACGAATGGAGTTCTGGGCACAGATACGGGCTCTAACTCTGGACTTTCCATTGTATCTCTGTGTGACTGCACGCAAGTTACTCTATCCAGGCCTACAAGACAAGTGGGCTGGACTAGATAATCCTATGTCTTCATTTGTTCTAATCTATGTAGCCAAGACAGGATTAGGATGACCTTTTCTTTGCCCTGGCTTGGGGCAGAGATAGGAGAACAGGGTCAAGAGTCAAAAACCAGGTAAAAAGGCTGGGCACGGTGGCTTACACCTGTAATCCCAGCATTTTGAGAGGCTGGATCTCTTGAGGCCAGGAGTTTGAGACCAGCCTGACCAATACGATGAAACCCCATCTCTACTAAAATACAAAAATTAGCCGGGTGTGGTGGCATGCGCCTGTAATCCCAGCTACTCACTCAGGAGGCTGAGGCAGAACTGTTTGAATCTGGGAGGTGAAGGTTGCAGTGAGCTGAGATGGTGCCATTGCATGCCAGCCTGGGCAACAGAGTGAGACTCTGTCTCAAACAAAACAAAACAAAACAAAAAAACTCGGTAAAAATCTGGTCACTTAATGACTGTGTGACCTGGAACAAGTGATTCCAGCTCCTTCTAGCTCTAGAACCATGCTCCTGGATCTCACTGCAACTCTGATCAGGGTATGAAGAATAGAACATGGTAGATTCTGCATGCCACCAGCACTCAGTCTTTAGGCTATGAGAAGGATACTCCCCTAGAACAGTGGACTGAATTGTTAACTGAGCAAGAGCTTCCCCAATCCCTCCAATGAAGACACTGCAGTAGCAGTTAGGCCTGGGAATTTGGGACAGGAAATCATAAATACCAGTTACTGTGTTGGACAGGTCAAATGACTGCTGACAAGGTAAAAACCTCCCCTCTCTGTGCCACATCCCGATTCTTGCTCCTGGGGTACAGCCACCAGGACCAAGTCAAACCTGCACTCTGAGAATGGGAAGGGATGCTGAACTCTCACTTTCCAAGAACCCTGAGCCCCACTCTAGGTCTGGGCATGGAAAACCCCATCGAATGGAGTTCTGGGCAGAGATATGAGCTCCAACTCTGGACTTTCCATCCTATCTCTGTGTGACTGCACGCAAGTTACTCTATCCAGGCGTATTAGCTAGATGTAGTAAGCCGAAGGAAGCCCAAGGCCTGATGCTGGATACTATGTGTGATACTATGTCTCTGGCCCAGAGTCTGGGGACACAATGTAGCTTATAACTACCTTTTACATCTTGGTAATAAGAAAAAGAACTGAAATTTCTATGCGTCCTCCTTTGTTCTAATCTATGTAGCCAGGAAAGGATTAGGATGATCCTTTCTTTGATCTGGTTTGTGGCAGAGATAAGACAACAGGGGCAAGAGTCAAAAACTGGAGCCAGGCGCGGTGGCTCACGCCTGTAATCCCAGCACTTTGGGAGGCCGAGGCGGGCGGATCACGAGGTCAGGAGATCGAGATCATCCTGGCTAACACGGTGAAACCCTGTCTCTACTAAAAATACAAAAAATTAGCCGGGTGTGGTGGCAGGCGCCTGCAGTCCCAGCTACTTGGGAGGCTGAGGCAGGAGAATGGCGTGAACCCGGGAGACGGAGCTTCCAGTGAGCTGAGATCCGGCCACTGCACTCCAGCCTGGGCGACAGAGCGAGACTCCGTCTCAAAAAAAAAAAAAAGTCAAAAATTGGGTAAAAATCTGAGTCAGTCACTTAATGGCTACGTGACCTGGAAAAAGTGATTTAACTTTTTGGAAGCTAAACTTCATCCTTTTTTTTTTTAAGAGACAGAGTCTTTCTCTAGAGCCCTGGCTGGAGTACAATGGCACAATCTCAGTTCACTGTAACCTCCACCTCCCAGGTTCAAGTGATTCTCCTGCCTCAGCCTCCCGAGTAGCTGGACTACAGGCATGTGCCACCATGTCTGGCTAATTTTTGTATTTTTTATTAGAGATGGACTTTTGTCATGTGGGCCAGGCTGGTCTCGAACTCCTGACCTCAGGTGATCCGCCTGCCTGGGCCTCCCAAAGTTCTGGGGTCACAGGCATAAGCTACTGCCCTTGGCCTTCTTCATCTTTCTTTACAGCACTGTCGTGAAGATTTACAGCCTAAACTGTATTCTCCAAAAACTGTTATCTCCAAAAAAAGAGGAAGACACTGTTCTTACCATAATCTTTCCTATTATTATAAAGACAATAAGAAAAAAAACACCAATTCTCCCCCTGGCTTTTCAGCTTTGAGACAAAATCAAATTCCTTTAATTTATATTGCCCCCCACCGCCTCCCTGCCAGCTGGGAAACCTTTCCACTGTTGGCCCAAGGACTCTCACGCCTGGCAATCCCAGTGCACTATCAATGCCACTGATTCACAGGAAACAGTGTTTGGGCTGGTGACATTTCCAGGGGAAGGACTGGGTAAACTCACCTCGACATTCAGAGAACTGGCCTGGGAGCTGAGGTTGGCGCTAGTGAGAGCAAGCGGACCCTCAAACATCTGAGCCAAGTCTTGCATAAAGGCATGATCAGGAATCCGAATGCCTACAAGCTATAAGGCAGGGGGAAGGGGATCATGAGAAAGGTTGGAAGGGGTAGAGGGTAAGTCTGATCTGGATCCTAGTGAAAGCCAAGTGGCCTGGAGTCTGGAAACACAAGAGAAAACTTGACTCACAGGCGTAAAAGGGTTTAGGTCCTTGTTGAGCTCCTCCGAGCGTTCCATCACCAGGGTCACTGGTCCTGGCAGTAGGTCTTTCAGGAGCCCCTCAGGTACTCTCACACGGCAGTATCTGGGAAACACAGGAGCATAAATCCATTCAAAATGAAGGACCACTGGTGGTCCTTTCCTAGACTCTAGGCACACGTAGGAAAGGAATCCTTCAAGTTTACAATGGGAGCCGCCTGTCTCCCTGCTTCACTTCCCTAAGAGCTTGAGCAGAAAGCAGGACTCCAGAGGGGCACCCCTGGCTTGGCGCCTATGTGCCTCTGGTCTGAGGGACTACAACAGCTGCACCGCTGTGCTACCGTGATAGTGGGTGGGATCAAGCTCCACGTTTTATTTTCTACAAGGCATTCGCTATTAAATTAAGCTACTGTGTTTCTTTCCTTTTTTCCTGGGGGCCTCCCGGATTAGTACAAATGCGCCAAGGGTACAGGGCCCCCGCCTTTCTCGTGTGTTGCTGCCTCTCAGCAGCATGTAGTTCAGGGCCTGGGGCACGTTAAGTCCTCGGTACACACTTCCAGTTCCGGATTCCTTGGTAAGCCTGGACAAGCCCCTCCCGCTCTCTGCGCCTCAGTCTCCCAAGCCTGTCACCGGAAACCCCTCCCGCGGTGCCGCCCCCAGCGGGGCCGGGTCGGGGCGGCCTCACCTGTAGACGTCGGCCACGCGGCCGAGGCATACGGCCAGAGGCTTAGCCTCGCTGCGACCCTTGAGGCGGTACACAGCGCGCAGAGCCGCCGAGCAGCTCGCCGCGCAGGCCAGACCGTATAGCGTATCGGTGGGGACGGCCACCACGGCGCCGGCGCGCAGCTCGGCCACGGCGGCCCGCAGCGCCTCGGTCCAGCCGGCGCGCTCCGGGCTCGCGGCCTGCACGGCCCCGCTCCCCGGGAGCCGCAACAGCCGGGCCCCGGGGGCCGCCGGAGCGGGGCTCGGCGGGCGGAAGAGGCGGCCGCTCCGGGAGCCAGCGGACCCCTCGCTCAACCCCACGCTGGCAGCCACCGCGGCCCTCATCCCCCTGCACCGACGCGCCGGAGACATCCGCCCAGGCCCGCTTCCGGGAGGAAGTGACGCTCCCAGCCAGCTTCCGGTCCGGGAGACTCGGCCCCACCTCTGCGCCGGGCAGCTTAAAGGGACCACGACCCCCAGGAGGATTGAAGGAGACCGGTGGGGACGGGGCGGGGCCCGGCCTTGCGGAGCCCTAACACAGCGCTGGGGAGGGGGGCGGCCGAAAGGGGGGCGGTGGTCGGGCCGCGCAAGCGGAGATGGAATGGGGCCCGGGCTCAGACTGGTCACGGGGGTGAGAGGGGGCCCGTCGGGGCGGGGGGAAGGGGCTCGGCCCCGCGCAAGCGCCGGCCCTGACCGTCTGTCTCTTGCTCGGGCAGGGAGGCTGCCGGCGTGGACCGCGGGAAGGCGGGGCTGGGGCTCGGCGGGAGGCCACCCCCGCAGGCGCCCCGGGAGGAGCGCGCCCAGCAGCTGCTGGACGCGGTGGAGCAGCGGCAGCGGCAGCTCCTGGACACCATCGCAGCCTGCGAAGAGATGTTACGGCAGCTGGGCCGCCGGCGCCCGGAGCCGGCTGGTGGCGGGGTTAGTGCCCACCCTGGGCTGGGCCGGGGTGGGGTGGGGTCTGCCCACTGGCTAGGCTGGCCAAGCCCTAGCTTACCCTGGAGGGGGGAAGTATCTCTCCACTGCTTTATCCCTAACCTCCGTTGATGTGGTGAGAGGTTTCGAAAAAGTTAATACTATCCAAATGCCAAATGGCCATATCCTTGTGGGGCCTAATCCAAGGCCTTTCCTCCCAGCCTCACTTTTTTCCTTTCTGTTCCAACTAGAACGTCTCAGCCAAACCCGGAGCGCCCCCGCAGCCGGCTGTCGCCACCAGAGGCAGCTTTCCAAAGGATGCTGGCGATGGAGCTGCGGAGCCCTGACCATCCCCAAGCCGGATGCCCTGACTTCTCTCCCTCCCCAGGGCCGGTGGCTGGACTCTGAACAACTCCCTTCAGTAAAGGGGCCAGTCTTCACTGGCAGTGGCTGGTACTTGGCTGGCTCTCAGCCTGGAATGGCAGCTCTGCTAGCAGCTGGGTTCACTCCCACTTCATCCTGGCTGGAAGCAGTGCTGTGCTTTGAAATGTAGCCAATGAATACCCAGTCTGATTACCCAGATTTGGGCAGACCAGCAGTGCTCGCCAGAGTGGTCTGGCCTGCTATGGGGGATCCAGGTGATGTTACATGTCCATTTCATGCTTTGGGGGCTTTTAGCTCCACAAAACACCTTCAGCAGAGCCTTGATTAAAAGGAAACCTGCAGACTCTCCTGGTGACCGACGTTTCCTTTCTGTCCCCTCCCTCTCCAAGACTGATGGCTGGGAAGGGGGGAATGGTGGAAAAATGTCAACTATAGACAGGGTTGGGAAGAAATGCCACAGATACTACCAGATTTAAATAAGCATTTAATTAGGATTTCATTAGTATTTAATATTGCTTTTTCAATTCCAAAAAGTTAAATTTTCACTTCTTAGCAGATATTTTAAAGTACAATATTAAGTTTATACAAAATGAGCAATTAAGCAAACACCATTATTTCACATTCTTCAAAAATACAAATTCGTATTTATTCTTTTTTGGGTTTGGAGGTTTCTTCCTTTGGAAGTACTGAACCTGTAACGTTTTCATATCGCTCAGTGGAAGTCCGTTGTTCCCATGTTTCACACTTACTTTTACATAATCCAAATAAAACTATTTGGGATTTTAAAAGTTGTCACCAAGACCCCGGCCAATGATTAGTGTATGTCAAAAAAAAAGAGGGCTCTTGGGGGCTCTTGCCTTTCCTGGCTAGAAGATCTGAGCCAGAGATTAAGCAACAATCTGTTTCCAGCCACCTTCCCCAAACGGACTAGGAAGAGTTCACAGGAAAAGGGAACAGACACTTTGAACTCTGACCCCCACCCTCACATTCTCCAAAACACAACTAAGGATGTAGACTGTTGAGTCAAACAGCCCTTGGGAGGCCTGAGAACACAGCAGGAAAAGGGCAAGAGAAGCCTCTGACTTGGCACACTACGAGGATAACAAGGATATTGCAAAAAACACCCCTGGGTTTTGGTGCAAAAAGGTTTTATGAAAAATTTTCCCATAAGAAAAAGTAGAAACTGCATTGAGCTGAGAAAGGGACACTACGTGATCGCCCAATTTTGGCCCAACAGGCACACCACCAAAAGGGCAGCATGTGGTTTTGAACCTCAATTCCAGTAGAAAAGCTTGTACTATGTACACATTGACATAAAGATCCAGTTTAATTTGCATTTTTCAGTGCAGACTGAGAAGCCCTCTCTTGAACAGGAGTAACAGTGAGAAATGCCCAGTGGTCGTTGGCTTCCCCTAAGGGCATCAGAAGAAATACAGGACCCCTTCCCTCTCTCCCTAAAAAAACATGCAAGAGGAAACAGGCTAATATGGCTAACCAATCAGAAATATGCTCCAGTTTTGTTGCCTCCACCCCGAAATATTAAGGAACAGATAATTTCTGATCTATGTCCCAGCAGAACCATTTGCATATTAGATCTATGAAAATCTTTCTGCTTTGGCTGAATTATATTTTAAAACTTGCCTATTCTATAGCCTGAGAATTTGAGAATTGAAGATAAAATGGGGGAGATGGAGTAAAGGGTGGCTGAAGTATATTTTAAAACTCGTCTATTCTATAGCCTGAGAATTGAAGATAAAATCGGGGAGGTGGAATAAAGGAAGAAAGTTGATAATGATTCATGGGATTTAATGTTTGTTTATAGGATTTAATGAAGGCTGGAGGCCTTTTTGCTTAAGGAACCAACACAGGTAGTATGGGGACCAGTATGGAAATGGCTCATGTTGCCCCCTGCCACCCATGCCCCCCCAAACATATTTCTGATTGGTGGTGTAAGACAATTGTAAACTCTTGAGAAATACTGTTGCAGTTCCACACATCAATGGTTTCAATGACTCTGGAAAAGTCTTTAAGGACAATGGATGTGATTACAAATATCAAAGTCTAGAAGGTGCCAGGTTTCTACCTAGGAACAATCTGTTCCTTCCTTTCAGGCATCATTTTGTAGTGGTGAAGAGGGAAAAGATGGCGAGAGACCAAGAAGTGATGAAAAAGGGCCTCAACAGTCAGCAGAAAACAGGACCCACAGCAGTTCTTCAGAGAGCCTGAGGGGGCGCCCTGGGGCACACAGGGAAGGCTTGCATAGATTGAGCGGTTGCTGAGAATGCATAATAGTGTTTCTCTATGGACAGCCTCATAGCACAGGGCTGATTGAGCGGAAAAACGCGGCCAGGCCAGGGCCACATGGGACAACGACCATCAAGCTACACATATTGCACCAAGGTAAGTGCTTTTCTTTTCACACCTCAATTTAACTTTTTATTCTGAGCAAAAAATAAACTTTGTGGAAAGTATATATATATGTATATATACACACAAAAGAAATTGCAGCAATCGGGTTAAAGATAAAATAACCTAAAGTGCTTTTTTATTTTATTATTTCTTTAATATACCAATATGAGGTTCTGCAAACTTGTCCCTCTGGACACATTCAGCATTATACAAAGTCTCTCAGGAAAACCCACCCACCCTCCAATATCCCCATCAGTCCACAGCCTTGACCCTGAAAATAAAACTCTCCGATCTACCACCTATCCCAGAGGTGAAGAGGAGAAGCCCCTTGCCTTTTACTCAGAGAGATCTTCACATCTTAAGGCCCCTCCTGGGCTTTGTACCATGATCTCCTTCTAAACGGAGGTGGAATTCAATAAATGACACCACTTCTGTCACCACACTAGTGGTGCTCCCATGACACTGGCCAGACCCTGCCAGGAAAGACTGGGCCACTTTCCCTCAATGCCCAACCTACCTGCCTGGGAAGGGCCAAGTTCACTAAGGCAGTTTGGTGGTGCCAGTCAGTTTCCTTACCACCTCCTAAGTCCATGAACCCCAATCCCTGGTGCTAAGCACCCTTTGAAGCGGTTGTCTAACTGGAGATGTTAGTAGGAACTAGAAGATAATGTACAGGGTGAAAATGGTTAAGTTTACTATGGGAGAGGAAAAAGGCTTGATTTTTACCTGCTAGAATTCTACAAATCCTCCCTAATCTCACCCTAGGTTCATTTCCCACGTTTGGGAAACCACACTCACCATGAAGGTTCTTTCTGGCTCCAGCTTAGCTAGGGGCCCTCTTTCTTCCAAGGTCCTTGGCACTAGAGACCAGGCTTACAGAAGGGCAGGTAGGAAAAAAGAACTGGAAAAGGAGGGAAAGGAAGACTGCCTACCCTGGGAAATAAACCTGATCTTCACAACTCACTGGCATTTTAAGCACATTCCTGATTTTTCAAAAGCTGATTGGATCTGATAGTCTTTCTTGTAATCTAAAGTCACCCTCAAAAGGCAGATACGCAGATACTTCAGCTTCTTCAACTGGAAAAATCTGTCAGCCTAAACACTGTTTAAGATGCTGCTTCGTCACCCTTGATCTTTGAGAGTGAAAAGGCCACTGACCTGGGTAGGCCCCAACATGAGCACGCCCTGGCTAGCCAGGAAGAGTCGATATTTAAACCGTGGGTGCTTCAAATGTCCTTCCCTGGGCTCCTATTTCCCACCTCCACTCCCAGGGAACCCAAATCCCAGGTGACCACAGGATGGGCATATGGGAAGGTCATTACTGCCCTCTGATACTAGCTTACTTTGGGGTCCCATCACTACTCTCTCAGAAGTTGTAAACACCAAGGGCCCTACCTCAAAGCTTCCTGTGGGTGCAAGGCCCAGAGAGATCCAAGGAAAACTCATGCTCAGCAGCTGGTTTTCCAGGAGGACTAACCCACTGTGTTAACAGGAAATTCCTCCTGCCTTATCAACTTCTGCTGAGGTCAGTGGTCATCAGAAGCCACAATCCTTTTGGAGAAGGGAGTGCAGAAGGTCAAAAAGAAGTCAATTCCCTAGACCAGGCACGGTGGCTCACACATGTAATCTCAGCACTTTGGGAGGCCGAGGCGGGCAGATCACCTGAGGTTGGGAGTTCAAGACCAGCCTGACCAACATGGAGAAACC